AAACTCCTCGGGGGACAAAAGTTCCTGCATGGGGGACCCTTCCCGACCTTCTATCTCTTCAGCTGGCTATTCATCTGTCTCTCCTACAGCATCCTCAGTAATAAATTGGCACTCTCAAGCAGTGTTTCCCTGAGTTCTGGGAGTTGTTATAGGAGATCATTGAACCTGAGGAGAGGGAACCTCCAGTCAGAGTCAAGTAGGACGGAGGGTGGTGATGGACGTCTGGACGTGCTGCTGGGTTCTGCCTTTGGGCTGAACCTGTAAGCTGTGTCATCTACACTAATTTCAGATAGCTAGTGTCAGAATCGAATTGACTTGTACAACATCCAGTTGGTGTCTGCAGAGAACTGGAGAATTTGGGGAGGTGAAAGACTCATACTTTTTGGTCATAGTGTGTAACTAGAAGCAGATCATAGTAGGAAGCTTGTGGCATCAGAAACAATCTAAATACCCAATTTGATGGATTGGTTAAATGAAGTCTCCCTATTTAATGAAAATGTTCTCTAAGGTCTCTAAAATTATATAGTAGATATATGTTTTAATGGAAAGAAAGCATTCCATATTTTTAATGAAATATATGGGATCCCCAAATGCTAAGTTCCCATTTTTAAAGTATATTTGTGCATAGAAAACAACAGATTATATACAAGGTATTTGCAGTGGTTAGCTCTGAAAATAGAATTATGGATAATTTTAATTTTTCCCTTTGCTTAATTATGTATTTTTATGGTTTTTTTTAAAGATTTATTTATTTATTTATATAAGCACTGGGTACAGTCAGAAGCACAGGAGGGTGAAAGAATTCACCAGAGCCAGAGCAGGGAGCAGAGCAGGCAGAAGGACCGAAGCACACTGCTGAGGGGAGCAGCTGGCGGCAGGAGAGGTCTGCGCGCCATGTGGGACCCTCCTCCGGTGGCCGGGGAGCAGCCGGGGATCCAACCGGCACTGCAGAGGCTGCAGGCAGCTTTGCAACCCAGCGCTCAACCGCTGCGCCACCGGGGAGGCCCTATTTTTATGGTTTTAAAATAATAAACAGGTATCACTTTGTATAATGCTAAATGTTATTATAAAACTAAGATGATCATATGTAGCATGCAGCCCATTTCCAGGCACATAACCAGGGCTCCCTTGATTTCTCTCCTGCCTTGCAATTACATTGCACAGACTTTAGAAGCTTGTCTATCACCTGCCGTAGTATTCTTGAAGAAGAGACAGCTACCATTCGGAAATAAGAGATTATGAACTGGGTAGTGTCCTTTCATCAAACGCTCCCTACCGATCCCCCTCCAGCCCTTCCTTACTCTGTTGCTTCCACTTTAGAATGCCAGTGCCACCTTTCCCTGTTGCTACGTGGCCCCATTAACTCTATCCTCCCTGGCCTCAATTCCCCCAGGAAGTCCTCCTTGATTGCCTCTCCTACAGCCCCCACAGGTCACTCATGTCCTCCTTTGACCATTTAGGTCCTCTGTTCTGTGAATACTATGGAATGTGGACTTGACTGTGAGCCCACGGGGCACCTGCATCAGGGCAGGGCACAGAAAAGCTACCCAGGCCCTATGTGCTGAATTGAGCCGAATGTTTTGGGGCTCTTGTGTGTCATCCTCTGTACCCTGCCTCATGGAGTGAGGAAGCTTGGGCCCTACTGGCACTGTGATTGAGCTCAAATTCTGACATGGCTCCCTATTAGCTGTGTGGTCTCTGGCGAGTCACTTCACGCCTCTCAGCTTCAGTATCCCCAGATGTGATTATAACCGCATCCCTTAGGGTTAAAATTAGTACTCCACTGCATGGTAAATAGACTAAATCAGATAATAAATATAAAACTCTTAGTACAGTGGCTGGTAAATGATTAATATTGATCAACAAAAAGTCGCTATATACAAGTTTTATTCCTACAGTGACTATACACTTTATCATGTAAATCAAGACATTTCTGGGGATAACAGGATAGCGATTAGTGATTATGTGAGTTTTGAGTATTTACCCAAAAAAATGCAAAAACACTAATTCCAAAAGATATATGAGCCTCCGTGTTCACTGCAGCACTGTTTACAACAGCCAAGAACTGGAATCAATCTAAGTGCACGCATGCTGAGTGGATAAAGGAAGATGTGGGGTGTAGACACAGTGGAATCCTGCTCGGTTATATGCATATACATGCATAGCTATAAGATGAAATCCTGTCCTATGCAACGTCAAGGATGGAACTAGTGGGTGTTACTAAATGAAATCAGACAGATGGAGAAAGGTAAACACAGTATGATTCCACTCGCATGTGGTATATAGGGAAAACAAAGAGATGAGCTAAATAAAACAAAAATAAACTTTTGAACTCTAAAACCAATCAGTGGTTACCAGAAGGAAAGAAGGGGGAAAAGGGGGTAACCAGGAAAAAAGGGAACAATGGTATGGGGAAGAATAGAATTAGACTTTCAGAGGTGAACTAAATGTAGCATATACACAGGTTGATTCTCAACAACAAACTTGTATAAATTGAAACTTATATAATGTTATAATGCAATGTTACTTCAATTTCAAAACTAGGAAAAAATCATGAGAGGTGACAAGCATAAGTGAGGGCAGAACCAGGCAAACCCAGACATGTGGTCACCTACTTATCCGCACCATTCACTGTGAGTCCCTGAACACAAGGCCCAGGTCCCTTCATCTCAGAACCCCTCCGGCCTTCTCCCAGGCTGGCTGATAATTTAGGGCTTCTCCTCCCAGGGCGGGAAAGGGATAGGTAGCCTGCCTTGAGCTGGAGACAAACTGACAGCTGGGGGCAGCAGCTAGCTGCCCTCCTGCTCTCTAGTCACGACCCCAGGCCAACCTCCTCTCCTAGCTCCACAGACCCAGGGGCTCTCTAGTGACCCCAGGAGACCTACCGTTAGGTGCTGAACTGGATGGGCTGCCCTGGATCTTCCTCGGGAGTAGAAGGGCATCTGGCTCACTCTGTGGTCAGTGTGAGCTCCGCCCCAGCACTGATCAAAGTTCCAGGTAGCGGTTCCTCCCCTCACGTGGCCTGGCATTCCCGGAATGTCACCAGGGTCATGGGACAAAAGGAGAAAATCTGGGGCAAGGCCTCTGAAGATAACAAAATGACCCCGAACTACTCCCACAGACAAAATCTGTGATGTGGCCAAATTCCAGCGGGGGTCATGAACTTGGCACTTTAGGGCCCTAGAAAGTTCCCAATAGGTTGCCCCAGAGGTAAGGCTTGGGATTAGCAGTACATAATGGCACCCCTTCTTGTAAAAGTTCAGGCTGGTTCCCAGGAACCCAAGTTTCCAGGGCAGCCAGCCATCAGCATCTGCTTGGCTTTCTCCAAGGGTTGTGGGTTTGTTCTTTTGTTGCATTTGCTTTTCTAATGAACTTTCTAAGCCTTTTCTGAGTTAAAAGGGGGAACAGTTATTGGGAAGTGAACTTTGGCCCAATCTGAAAAACACTGCTTTTCAGCGATCTGAGGATGAAATAAGTTGCTTAGGGAGGGAGTGATTTTCCTGTCTGCAGGTGTTCAACCATGGGTACAAAACCAAGCGAACTCTTTTCCTCGTTATCCAGAATTCCAGAAATCTGTCTGAGTGGAAGGGTCAGTGGATAGGGAAGGACACTGAGGCTTTCCTTGGTCATCATAGGGACCAGCTCTTCAAGATAGTGAACATGCCACTGACTCCTATTCTGACCCAGACTCCTGGGACAGGCTCATATCTGACAGAAAGGATCTAAGAGCTTAGGGACCCAAGCAAATATTTTTGGAAGCCCTTTGCTGGCCATAGCAGTGGGTCAAAGAACAGGAGAGGGCCTTGCTGGTGGCCTAGGGCTTAAGTCTCAGCACTATCACTGCTAAGACCTGAGTTTCATCCCCGGCCAGGGAGTAACCCACATGGCGCAGCAGAGCTCTCCTGTCTGGCCTGCTGCACCCCTCAGCAGTGTATTTCTCCCCCCACACCTCTGGCCCACACCCTAATTCTTCTATGAAGAAAAAAAAGGAACAGCAGAGAAAATCAGCCCTCTCTCAAGCCCTGGACCTTGGCCAGCAGCTGTGGCAGCTCCAGGAGCCTGAGACTGAAAGAACCAGAGGGACACTTGGACACAGGGAGGGTGTCAGCTTCACTCAGAGGGTGACTCTGAGAGCTGTAACTCACCAGGCCTGGCGCTAAGCACTGAAAGGAGTGCAAAGGTATGCAGGGTAGTCCTCCCACCCAGAGCCTCGATGGGATACAGGCATGTACATGTGTGAATATGTGCATGCATGTGCATGTATTGAATGCCTGCACGTTAGATGAATGCTGAGCGAGCTTCAATGTCTTTCTGATGACATAGATGAAACTCCAACCAGGGATTCTGAAGGCCTAATTGTAGTGCAAGCTCAGCCTCTAGGTGACTTTGGGAAATTCATTTCTTGACTTGACCTCACTTTCTTCATCTATAAAGAGGATTGAGCCTATTCTCAAGGACCCTTCCAGCACACTAACCTCTAAATGTATTATTTCTTATTTGATGCCCATTCATTTTCCAAAGTTCTTTTTCCAGCTCAGAATCTACTTTCTTTGAGATGCTATCTTGGTGAGACTTGCACGCAGGTAACAATTGTAGAATCAACAGGTGTGGTATCCCTTAACCAAGATGTTCACAGAGAGCACAAGTATCCTGTGTATACCATTTATTGTTGATTCTGTACACCAAACTTGTTACAAGCAGCATCCAGCAAAGACAGAACCCCAACCCTGCCCACCAGGGCTCACACTCTATAAAACCCTGGGGGGCCCTAGAATACTCTAAATGCACTACCAAGCACCTGGGGCTATTTGTAATGATTCTCTATGCAAGGCAAATTTGAACTACTTCTGGAAAACAGCGTGAAGGCAACAGGTCAGTGAAAATATCTCTCTTTGGGGAAGAGAGGCCTCAGGCTGGGAGATTAGCCTGGGGAAGCATCCTTTCACCCTCTCTGAATCACTGCCACTACTTCCTCCCCAAAACCACCACTGCCCCACCCAACACCCCTTTTAATTCCAACTGTGGGTCCTGTGAGCTGGATTTTCTAAAGGTGGGGATCCATCCACCCCTGTTTCCCACCCAAGTGATCCAGTTACCCCTAGCTGATGACCCTCCATAAACTTCCTGGACTTGGAGATATCTTGCTTCCACTCTACAGCGACATTCAAAAGGCTGTGGAAATGGTTTGGTTGCCCAAGAAGTATTCTACAACTGTGTTGTGCCTCTAAATTCTAAAAAGGAGGAACAATATCCACACCAAAGCCAACAACTTCATGAGTGGAGCCTATTTCCTTTAACGGATGGATGAGTTTAATTTTTTCCTGCCTTCTGCAAATCTTTTGATTCTCACAGTCCCGGTGGCAAAGACTTTGTGGGGGAGTGGGAGAGAGGCTTCCATTTTCTTCCTTTAATGACGAAAGCCCAAGACGGCCCCAAGAGGCCTTGTACAAAGCTGAAAAGAGAAGGAATACACACCGCCTGTGGAATAATGTTGCCGCAGAACAAGTGGCTTCAGGCCTGCTCACTGGGGATAATGGCAGGACTTGTGCACAGGGCGTTGTGAGGGTTAACAAGAGGATGCCTGGCAGGAGCTTGAGGGAGCACCTATGCACAAGAAGCATGTCTGGAAAAGAGTGGTTCTACTTTAATTATCTTTAATTATCTTCCCCCCAACAACTCAAATGGAGATGCAGGTGTTGACAAGGTGACCTGGGAGCCAGTGAGCAGAGGGAAAGCAAAGTGAATTCTGGACCCAGCCTCAACTTTGGGTGCCCAAGTGGCTCATGCCAGTCCTGTTGGAAAGGAAACTCCACTCAGCTTCTCCAGCAGTTCCCTGACCAAATAATATGATTCACCTACTGAGGAACAGGGAATCAGATGGTTCCATCCAATCTACTCTGATGAGAGAAGAGAATAAATAGGTAAGCTCAGAAGGCCAAGGCCTACCACCCCCCGAGGGCTGCTCCTGATGGGGTAAGGGGGTGGGTGTCATCTGAGGCCTCTGGCCAGTCTTTGTTCTGGAGACATGTTCATATCCTAGGCCTGAAAGGAAGGTACTCCAATGTGATGACCAACGCCAGAAAGACCTGAGGCTCTGGGTTCAGATTGTCAGGGCACACAGAATGAGGAGGACTCCTCCCTCACCTGTCTGCCATCTTGAGTGCAGTGTTCTCTTGCACAATGAGATGCTGGTGCCAGGTTCCAAGGGGCACCTTGAGGAATGCAGTGCCACCCATGTCTCCTGTCTGGAGGAGAGCAGGCCTCAGGATCAGTATGCCAGGCCACCATGCAGTGTTGTCCATGCGCCAAGCACTGGGTTCACTTTCTTTTGGGCCCTGGCAAGTCTTGATGCGCATCTACCGGTTACTACAAATATTTCTAAAACACTTTGGACACCCAGATTTATCTCGGTGAGATGATGTCATTTCTCCCAGGTGCCCTGGGCCAGAGTAAAAAGCTATAGAATGCACTAATTCTTACACATCTTCCTAGACCCTTTGTGCAGGGGACTGGAAGGGAGATCTGCTCATCCTGTCAGCAGCATGCTGCCAAGGCCCCTTGGGAGTGCTTACTTGTCTTGTGGGGCAGAGGGACTGAATAACAGCCAGTCAGGATTGATGGGAGATTTCTAGATCCTTATAGCATTGACTGCAGCTCTTTCCAGGAGTAGATATCAAATCCCCATTTCACTACTTTTAACTGCTAAACTGGTAGGTCAGTTATCCAGAGGAAGGCAAGCACGTCACATGTGTAATTTCTTTCCCAGTGTGACATTATATGTGCCACAGGAAGGGTGGTGAGGGCATGTGATCATGTGACTGTACCTCAAGTTGGAGACCAAACAACTCAACTCATAACCAGACCGCAGACAGGAGAAACTCCAGAAAGTCCGCAGATGCACGACCTGCTAGTCCCCTGCTGTGGAAATTCTGTGTTTGAAATTCTGAAGCTCAGTTGCCAGCTGGCTGTAATGTTGATTGAGTTTTACCATGACATTAGAGGGATTGTGGCATCCATTACACTTGGCTGTTCAATTAAAGGATCTCATCTCTGAACTATTTCACTTCCCCCAAAGGGAGAGTGAAAATTAAAAACAGTTATAGGCATATCATGCCCATAAAAGGCCCAGGCAGAAGGGCCTCCAATGGGCAGCAGGCAGCATGCTGGCAGGGGGGTGTGGTTGTGTGGGCTGTTGTAGCCCAGTTGCTTCTGCCCCGGCCAGCCTGGGGGCCTCTCCCGGTCTGGGGATTTAATAAAAGCTCCTGTCCAGGCCAGCGTGTACCCTCATATTCTCCACCCATGGCAGCTGGGCCTTTGCAAGTGCTGGTTGGGGCGGGGAGCGGTGAGACACCCATCCTGGCTCATGGGAAGCCAGGCCCCAGTTTAGTTCATGTCACCTCCACAAGTGCTGGTCTTGTCCAGTGAAAGCCTGGAGTGGAGGATACCAGTGCTATCCCTTTTCTTGATCTGGATGCTGATGACGCGGGAGTGTACAGTTTGTGACGACCCGTCAACCCACACATTGGCACGCTCCCCCTTTTCTGTATGTATGTTGTTCTTCAGTAAAACGTTAAAAGAGAAAAAGCCCAGGGGTGAACACAAGGCCCCTGGGTGCCAGGTTGCTTTCTCTATCTGGTACCAATAAGGTGATTTTAAAGGTTTTTAGGGGTCAGGACTTCTATATTATTTTATTCCTTTAAGGGTTAAATTTTTCAAGGTAACATTTCTGTCTGGAAGTATCCTCTGAAAGGTTGGATTTGCATGGTGCCTTTCTTTGTTTTCCAGACAAAAGTCACAAGGGACACGGTGCTGACGGCTCTGACTCCAGGCAGGCACCGAGGAGTGTCGTGTTCCTTCACTTTCACAGCACCTAGAAAACCAGGATGCTGGGCACCTCTTAAGAAACCAGTTCAGTGGTCTGAAGCCTTCTTTAAGGGAGAGAACTCACCCTGCCTTCAGGAGCAGAAAATCAAGGAGAGACGTTTCATTTGAGGGAACACAAACAAAAGGAGCAAAAGAGGGTTTATCAACGTACATAATACTTGAAAGAGGGACTGTCCCTGTGGAGAACTATTCCCACAAAGTGGGCAGGCATTGTGATAACTGAGTCTACGGAGGCCAGCAGGAGGGCAGGCTGGGGCAGGTTGTTCTGGGAGGAGTGCTGGTGAGGCTTCGGAGGAGGGGCTTTCTGCGAGAAGCTCCGGGATACAAATGAGAACCCCAGAAGGCTTTGCCATGATCTGTAGGCCCTCCCTGGTGGGAAGAAAGTCCCATACGACCTACTTCTCCTGGAGACAGGAGAACAAGGCAGGTCAGGGAAAGGTGGGACCCCTATCTCTCAGGACCCACAGAGTGGGATCAGGGGATGACTCTGTGCACCCGGAGGTGAAGGCTGACCGATGAAATTCCCAGCTCCTCTGTGGCCCCTCTTTCCCCCAGCCCTGCCTTCAGCTGCCTCTTTAGCACTCATTGGGTGCTTTCATCTGCATCAGGACTGCGTGGCTCCTCTTCTTGCAGCAGCAACAGCAGATGCAGGCAGCCAGGGAGCAGGCCAGGGCAATGACGCCAATGACAATGGCAGCGATGGCCAGCCCACTCTGGGCCCGGGTCATGCCCCACTTGCCTCGGTCATCGATGTTCTCAACAGTGGTCATGTCTGTGTAGTCATCCATGGTGGTGAATTCAGTGGTGGAGGAGGTGGTGTCAGGGTAGCTTGATGTTCCTGGGTACTGTGGCGTTTCCGAGTAGGCGGGCCCCTCGGGTGACATGGGACTCTGGGCACTAGGGACTTGGACATTGACATTGATGATGATGAGGGACTGGCCTCGGACATTGGCTGGGCTGAAACATACCGGGAGTGTGTCCGTCCCCAACTTGAGCTTGTTGACCAGGAGCCAGTTGCGCAGCGGGAGGATGTCTGAGTCACACCTCCAGGGGTTGTCATAGAGCCGCAGCTCACACAGGTTCCCCAAGTGATCGAAGATGCCCATAGGCAGGTTCTCTAGCTGGTTATTCTGCAGCTGGATGGTCATGAGGCCATTGACATTGGCAAAGATGTTCCCCGGGAGCTGTCTGAGGCGGTTGTTCTGTAGGGAGATGTTCTGCAGGTTGGCTAACACACGGAAGACATTGGCATCCAGCTCCTGCAGGGCGTTGGTATGGAGGGACAGCTCCCGAAGCTCTATCAGCCCATTGAAGGCCCCCGGGGAGATGTGGTTGATCTGGTTGCGGCTGAGGATCAGGACCTGCAACTGGGGGAGGTTGCTGAAGACATTGTCAGGTAGAGAAGTGATGTGGTTGTCATAGAGCCAGAGCTCACGCAGGTTGTGCATGGGCCCGAAGATCCCTGGGGAGAGCTCCTTCAGGGAATTCCCAAAGAGTGTGAGGCGGTTGAGCTGGGGCAGCTGCATGAAGATGCCAGGGGGCAACTGGGAGATCTGGTTGTTGGACAGATAGAGCCTCTGGAGGTTACGGTTGTTGTGGAAGAGGCCAGGGGAGAGCATACCAATCTGGTTCTGCTGAAGGGCCAGCTCCTGGAGGTTGCCAAGCCCATCGAAAGTGCCCATGGGGATGTCCGAGAGTCTGTTCTCATAGAGCCGGAGCACCTGGAGGTTGCCCAGGCGCTGGAAGACCCTGGGGGAGAGGTGGGTGAGGCTATTCTTGCCGAGATTGAGCTTGGTGAGGCCCACCAAGTGGTCGAAGACACCATCAGGGACATACTCCAGGTGGTTGCCGTGCAGCTGCAGCTCCTTGAGGTTGCCACACTGGGAGAAGTGCGCCGGCTGGATCTGCACTAGCTGGTTGCTGGACAGGAGAAGTGACTCCAGGTTGTCTAGGCCCTGGAAGAGGCCAATAGGCAGAACCTGAAGCTTGTTATTGGCAAGACTGAGGTAACGCAGGGAGCCCAGGTTGCGGAAGGCACCAGGCATGATGTGGGACAGTTCATTCTTCTCGATCCTCAGGGCAATGAGGGCTGAGATGTTGAGGAATGGGGACTCGTTGAGTTCAGTGATGTGTGTGTTGAGAATCTGCAGGCTCATGGCGTTCCAGGGCAGAGGGGTAGGCACTGCCACGATGCGTGCCCCATTGCACTCCACCTGGGAGGACCTGGAGCAGGTACACTCGCTAGGGCAGCCATAGTAGGCTAGCCCTGCACTCAAGGCCTGGCAGCCCACCAGCAAAAGGAGATAATGTTTCAATGGCATGGCCTCTGCAAGGGGAGAAAGCACACATGAGTCAAGGTCACCTCACTCATGATGCAGCTGTTTGTAAGCCAACATCAACATTCAATGCCAAATACTGCCTGCCTTTAAGCTCATCGCAACATACCCAACGTATGTTACCTGTGGTCTGCTCCAGCAGGCTTCCTCTCCATCCCTCATGCCTTCCTACTTCCATGCCTTTGCCCAAGCAGCTGCCCCGACCTGGCGTGCTCTCATCCTCATCCAAATCTTTTCCATACCTCCAAGTCTAATGTAAATGCAATCACTTCTAGGAAGCTTTCCCAGGTTCCGTGAGTCAGCATTAATTGCTCTCCCATGTGGGTGGTCTTCCCAAGCTCCATGATGGCACAGGCCACAACTTAGGGCATTTCTTGTGTTCCTGTTCTTTGTCTCCTTCACTAGCCAATAAGCCTTTCAAGGGCAGGGATATCTGTCTTTCATCCTCTATCCTTAAGGCAGGAACAGTATTTTATTCACCTCTATATAGAGTAAACTCAGAGCACCTGAACTTTCTGGTCCAACATGGCCTCCTTAGAAAGAACTGAGAGGAAATGAGAACAAATAAATAGGGCCTGAAACTGGCCGGAGGGTGGGGGAGAGGTGCTGAGGCCACACTTGGCAGCCTTCCAGGAGAAGCAGCAGCTCGCACAGGCAAGAGCACTCTGGTGATCCAGTGGGAAAAAACTGCAGAGGAGCTCAGCTTTTTCCTCCTGAGCCCCACCCTGCCCCGCCCTGTCCCAACACCACTATCACCAACCTGCCCCTTTGGGAAGCATTTCACTTGTGCCCATCCAGGTTAAACACAACCAGCTTTCCAACAAGAGGAAATCATCATCTCCACCACTTCCTGTCTTGCTGGAAAGAGGTACAGAGGCTCAGCTGATGCCTGGGATCTGCCTCTGGGTCCTTGTCCCAGCAGCCACAAAGAAACATTGAGTGATCTTGGGCCTCCCTGGTGGCACAGGGATTAAGTCTCAGCGTTGTCATCACTATAGCCTGAGTTCAAACCCTGGCCAGGGAGCTAACCCACCTGGCATAGCAGACCTCGCCTGTCTTACCCGCTGCTCCCCTCAGCTGTGTATTTCAGTTAATCTGCCTGTTCTGCTCCCCACTCTGTCTCTGATGAATCATCTCACCCTCCCGTACCTCTGGCTTACACCCAGTTCTTATATGCATAAATAAATAAAATAAATATTAAAAAAAAGAATGTGAAGGCAGGAAACATGGAGACTGGTCCCTACACAAACATTTAAGGACCACTAACTAGCTATTTGACCTTGAGTGAAGCTTGAGGCCTCCAAGCTCAGCTTCCTCATCTATTAAATCAGTATGCTAATTTCCGCCTCCCCCACCCCCTGCCCCCAGGTTGTTGTGAGGAGCACACTAGGGATGGGTGTGCGGGCACCCCACGCAGTACTGTGCAAATGGCTGTTCCAATTTCATCCACATCATGGGCTTTATAGACTCAGAGCAGAAAGGCCTCACAGTGCTTCTAACCTTGGCACTCTTAGTTTAGGCACTAAGGACTTCTGTGACTTCCACCTGAGGTTCATCAGGGTTAAGAACAGCTCGACATACATTGCCATCATTTTATGAGGCTGGGAAGGAAGGAGGGAAATTGAGGCTCAGAGCTTAAAACCTCCATCTCCAGATTACTGGGAGAATTCTTTGAGTGTTCATACAGCACTTCCCCTTTAAATGAGCAAAAATCCTGAGTCACAGGAAGGAATTTCAAATTATACATGTCAAGCACAAACTGGCTGTGTGGAGAAGATATTTCTCTGGCCCCTTTGTCTCCTCAACCCATGGAGTCCTGAATCTAGCCCATGCCTCAGAATAATCCAGGCATCCCAACCTGGCCTCAGCTCAATACACCCTTCTCCTGCTTCCCCAAAAGTTTACTCTGAGGACAGAAGCCAAATTCATCTTCACCCAGCCAGACCTTGACAGTTCACTTATTCACAGTCCATCCAAGGCCGACCTGCTATACTGTTGCAATAAGGACTTGACTAAGTGTGCAGAACAGGAAAGAAAAGAAAGGAAGAATAACTTGGCCAATGGACTCTAGACACAAACAAATGGGACCAGATTAAGCTATGGACACATCTAAAAGAATAAACTTGTATAGACAAATGTCAGCTCCAGAATCTGAAAGCAGAACACTAAATGCTTAAACAGGAGGCACAGAAAAAAGTGACTCAACATCTACGCCAGGAGAAATATATAGGGCTTTTAATTGATGGTAACAAGAAAGAAGACAGCTTGCAAAAGCTAATGTGACCTCAGATTGCATTAATAAAAGTATGAGTGCAGAACAAAGGAGGGGATGGTCTTACACAGCCCTGATCAGGCCACACCTATAGTGCTGTGCCCAGTTCTGCCCTGAAATTCAAGAAGGAAATGACAATTGCTCTCTTAAAGACTTTCTAGAGAAGGATGAGACAGAAGGAAATATCTGAAACTCCACTGAAGAGACTGTGGATGAACAACCAGAAGAAGAGATGCAAGAAGCCCACAAGTACTTTTCTTCTATACAGGAAGAGTTGCCCTGGAATTAAAAAAAAAAAAAAGGCACCTTTACTCAGAGTGGCTCCAGAGCTCAATACTAGTGGGCAGAAGCTATGGGATAGCAGATTCCAGTTCACCCCCAAAGAGACCTTGTTCAAGTCAGCATGGACTGCCTCAGAGAAGTAGTAAACTCCCCATCATTGCAAGTGTTTGACTGGAAGCTGAGCAACTACTTGGCAAGGAAGCTGGAGAGAAGATTCTCACACATAGCAGGATATGGCCTAGATGGCAGCTGATGTCCTATTCACCTCCCAAGACTTTAAGATTCTAAGTTTGAATCCCAAAGCAAGGAGATGACATCCATTTGACAGACCTGTGCTCCCAGGGTTGCATGGACAGGTGTGGGAGTTTGCCCATTCCGTAGCATGTGTGTGTGGGGGAGAGACTGACCCCCTGGACTGCCTTACCAAAGGTGAAGCTCTAAATTCCCCTAGGGACATCCCAGCTTGCACTGCCATGCCTGGCATGCTTCAAAATGGCCCCACACCCAAGCATCAGAGTTTAAATAAGAACCCATAGCCTGGGCAGATGGGTTCTAATTTGCCCATGTGTAAATGAGGGTGTGAGGCGAGGCACCCTCTGAGGACCCATCTTATACCGTCTCTCATCCTCCGCAGTTGAGGAGGGGGCTTCAAGTCAGCCCCAGGGAGGGTACCCTGAGGCTTGGGAAGAGGAGGGCAAAGATAATTCTCTTATGGGAACAGAGCCATTGTTGTTTAAAGTAGGCCATACTCAGCTTGACAAAAATTTCAGGAATTTGCAGATTTTTCTTTTTATAAATCCTCATGTCTGCAGAGCCCACCCCGGCACCACATGCAGTGGTTTCCTGTTTTCCAGCACTTGTTACTGCCACAGCTGGCACCACCTACTCCAAAGGCCCTCCAGAAAGTCCACCTCAAACCAGCTGCGGAGCCCTCAGGGCAGGGCGGAGTTACCCAGCAGACCTGGGAGTAGGGCCCTTGTATCTCAGCAGTCTTCTCAGACAGAGGCTCAGCAGCCTGCAGCCCTCAGGAGCCCAGCACAGTGCAGCCTAATAGCCCACGCTGCCCGGTGCTGCTTGGCAGCTGTGACAAATGCCAGTTAAAGATCCACAAAGCTACCCTAATTACACCCTCCTCCCCAGGTGACCAATCATGTCCTCAGCCACTGCAGTCACTTGGTCCAGCTCCTGTCCTAGGAGGTGCCGCTTGGCGACAGTGCTGGCCTGGAAAGTCAGTGAGACCAGGAGACAGACAGAAGGACAGACAGCTCACCTGGACACCCAATGGCATCCCTTCCCAGGAGCAGAAGCGCTGGGACCGGCACTCTGGGGGTCTCTTAGCAAGAGCAGCCTATGATTCACAAGCAAACACATAATTTGCCTCAAAGCCCTGGGCTTTGTTGGTTGGAGGGTTGGGACTTTTTTGGTTTAATAACATCATTCACATTCACATTCCCTAAATACGATGTTCCCGAGATGCCTTCTTATTTAAATGCCACAGAGCAAAGCTTTTGGAAGGAGCCTAGAGACTGACGCATAAATCTGGTCTTGACACTAAGATGGACCTGAATTTAGGTAAATTCTCCAGGCCTCAGCTCCTTCCTATAAGGACTCCCAAAGGCCCTTGATAACTCTGACATCTTTTGAGGGGGGACAAAAAGAGAGGCCTGAAGCCTCCCTAACCCATTCCCTTCACCTGCTCTTCATGAGAAGGCATGCCAAAGCACCAGCAATGCCACCTGGCTTGGCCCCACCTTCATACCAAGATTTGAGAAACATCTGCCCACCTTTTCAGGCCCACCTTGTTTCAGAGTTTTCCAAGCAGAATCCCACTGGTTAATCAGTGCACATTGTCAATAGCATTTCATGGAGTCTGGGTGTTGACAGGGGCCCTAGGGAACTGGTGGTCCTGGCCCTCCCAGCACACCTGGGGAAACTGAGGCCCAGAGAAATTTCCCTCCCTACCCTGTGGCTTTCCCCTCAGAGGTCTCCCTAAGCATGGCCTCAGTGAGATGCTTCCCTGGTCAGTCTGAAGGGTCCTGAGGGAAATGCCAGACTTGAAGTTGTAAGTTGTTGAGGGGTTTTTCCCTCCACATACACACACACGCACCCCTAAGCCAGTGTCAGATTCAACCAAGCTTCTCTTCAGTGCTCAGCCCAACAGCCCTGAAGTTGCCATCTGGCTGAAAGGCTCAGTGTGTACAGACATCTCATTCTTACTAAATAGGGGAACCTCCCCCTTCCCAGCGCAGGACATAAAAATTGCCTGGAAGTACCTGGGAAGCTTGCTGACAGAGCTGACCTCATAGCGTGGTTACTGTGAGGATTAAGTGAGTTAATAGACGTAAAGCACTTAGTCTTCGCACAAAATAAGCACCCAATAAATTTTAGTTGTAATTACTGTTCCTCATGCTATTGAGTAAAATCGGGATCTCCGGAGGCTCCACCCACAGACACCCTGGTCCCTAGGTCTGGGGTGCCCAGGACCCTGCATGTTTAACCAGTTCCCCAAGTGACTCCGCTGCAGGTGTCCACAAGCCGCACTCAGCAGCACTTGAGCCTAAATGGCTGGGACCCCTCTCCTGAGCTGCATGACTCACAGCTCAGACCACCAGCGTGCTCCGGCTCCTTGATAGACATTCCCTCTAGTGGTCCTTTCTGCATCTCTGTCAGAAATCTGGGTGTGTGCGAAGCTGAACCCAGGAGTAGATGCTGCTTCCTGAGGCAGTGCTTAGACTGAGCCCAGGGCATCAAAGGTGCCAGGGCCTGGTAAGACCATCTGGTCAAACCATCTGGTGATTTTGTGGATAGGAAAATTAGGGACCCACAGGAAGGAAGGGACTTGACCAAAGGTCATCGGTCTATTGAAGATTCCCGACACCTAGATCAGTGTTCTCCCTAATCACAATGCTTGGCGAACCCCTGAACTTTATCACTAGTCTTCCGTATCTTATTACCCGTGTGTCTGGCATGCCTAGGATGGGGGGACGAGGTGGCTTTGCTCCCTCTGATGCTCTTGAGTGGTGTGGAGGAGTGGAGGAGAAGAGCGAAAAGAGAAAGTAAAAGTGGAGGGGGTGATCCTGTAATCTCATCACATGGCCCCATTCAAGGCTTTGCCAAACCCAAAGCACCCCAGAGCCCAAGATAAGACCAGGCACACCCTCAGCTCCTGCCTCACTCAAGGTTGTTGACCCCCATCTCTAGTGCCTTTCAAATCCAAATTATTGTTCATTTGTTTTTTAAAAGTTAGTAAGAAAAAGCCAATTCTTTCCAGCCCCCGGGTTAAGGGAGGTAGAACTTGGTTTCTTGCAGAGGTCAAAGCAGGGCTATAATTAGCCTGGCAAAAGTAGCAGGAGATACTGACAAATTTATCAACAGAGCAAGGAGAAGCTCCCCCATGAGGTTCCGATTAAAACAGCCATGGTCTATAGCCCCTTCACAGGGTAACAAGTAGGGGCCCCAAATGAAATAGACATGGATCAGCCTCTCATCGAAACATTTCAGGCAGTTTCCAAATCCTGGGTCCCAAAGGAGGGAGTGAAACCAGAAGTTGCAGTCGATCTTTCGTGGTCAGGATTCAGAGAAGCAAATTGCTATGTGTAATCACAGCCTCGGGAGTGTTTGCAGGCAGAACCAAGTTGGTACAGGAGAGAAGTCTCCTGTCGCTATTTATTTCTCCACATCTGGATCCACTCCTACCTGCTCCCCATCGCTGCCTCTATTTAGTGAGCAAGCCCAGATACAGTCCCCCTGCTCTGGAACAGCCTTCCATACATGCAGCTCTGTTCAGAACCCTCCCCCCAGCCCTGCCCACCCTCACATGCCTGTCTCAACACTGTGGAGCCTGCTGGTGACTCAAGACCACAGACAATTGGGTCTGTCTAGTCCTGAATGTGCCCCAGATGTTCAAGTGATGCAGAATAAAAGGAAAGTCTCCATTAGAGAATTCCTGAATTATGGAGACAGTGGCACCAGTGCATCTGAGAGCTACCTGATATAGAGAGATACAATCCCAGACAATCCTCCAGCACCTGCAGTCTGAGTGATAGATTTGACCCTGGAGGTAAAATGTCTCACTCTCAGGTGCAGGTGAGAAGCTGCAGAAAAGACCTGGGTTTCTATAGCTGATAACTTGGCCCTGCTCCTGCTCTACATTTGAGCAGAGATACTAGTAAAGGTAAGACAGTCACAGTTTTGAAATCATACCACCCTCAGCACAAATCCACCTCTGGCTGGCAAGAGAGGAGAGCTGCCAGAACAGGGTCACCTAAGCCACACACAAACTTGGAAGCCAGAACAATTCTAAGTCCACAACTGCAGTCCAAATAGGAAATCCAAGCCTATTCTGCTGGAGTTGCTTATGTAACAGATTAAGTCCACAAAAGAGGGTCTTTCCCTGGGAAAGCCCTCAAGAAGGAAGATCTCATTGGTCCTGGACAGACCCAAATGCAGGACAGGTCACAGGTCACCACGGTGTCAGGAAAGATACATGGGGTCCTAAAAAGAGAGCCTTAAAAAAAAAGAAAAAGAAAGAAAGAAATGCTTCCTCCAATGGAGCCAGTATCCAGGATGAGCTAAACTTGATGGGTAATGGGTATGATAGTTTAGTCAAACTTCAACGCATCCTGTCCATCCAAAATATCTTCTCAGCCCCTGGGACTGACATCATGGGATGGTAAAGGCAAGTAGAGCAGGACCTGCAGAGAGGGGCTAGGGACCCAGGCGCCATGGGCCATGCCTTCCAGCGCAGGCTCCAGCTAGCAATGTCCGGAGTGCATCCCCAGCCCTGCCCCTTTTGGAGTCTCTCTCCAAGGAACAGGGTTAGCAAAAGGCCAGATGGGGCAGAGATGGGGAGATGGCCGGCTGGGACCTTGTGGTGTCCGCAGGAGGGAAGGAGGAGGGAGGGGCCGGGCTGCCTACTTACCAGCAGCCACCAACTTACCCGCTGTGGACCAGAGGGAGCCGTAGAAGAGGACTAGAGCTCACGGCTGCAGCATGAGTGCCGCTCGCCCTGCCCTCCTCCCGGTATTTAAGCGATCCCGGCCGTGAGTCACCGCAGGGGGCAGTGTCGCCAGGGCGGCGGGGAGGGACGACAGCCGCCACTGAAGCCCCAGCAAAGCAACAGGGTGACTGGGAGCTCCGCCGCCGAAGGGGCTTTCTTAACACAGACACGCACATTTTCCTCTTTTCTACTTTCCCTCCATGTTTCTTTCAGATTTGCTGGCTGCCCTGGCCACGAGGCTCTAGAGAGGAGCAGAGGCTCGAGAAAAGGCAGGTTCTTTCTTCTTGCAAAGGTTTTATTTGGAGGTTGCTTCAATTTTATAGAATAGCTGCAAGGGTAATACAAGGAACACGCCTATTCTCAACAATTTGGGGGAAGCATTTATTTTAAATTCCAAGGAAAGGTGAAATTTGCCCTCCCTCAGCTGTGTCTCCTAAGGACAATGTTTCAGTGAGCTTCTGACATCGTCCGCTGTCCCCTCACTGCTTCCTGCCAGAAGTGGTACACACCCCAGTGAAGGGGCTTATTGGAGAAAGGAAAGGTGCTATGTCCTTCACCTCTGCATGGGCGCCTGCACCTGATGCCCCAGAGAGGGACAAGAAACCCTTTCTATTCAGGGTATCCCCAAGAGGGCGAAGGGAGGAAAGAAAAAAGTCAGGCTGGGGAGTGGCAAGGAGGCTGCCAAACCTCAACTTCTCATTTGAGACGGAACGTCAACAAAGCGTGAGCTGCATTGGGCTGCAGCCACCTGCCCTGCCCTGGCTCAGTTTACCCTCTCAGCCAGCTGGGGAGAGTGATATTTACATACTGCCTCACTGAGTACCCAGAGCCCTAATTAATGCTTGCCCGTGCTTTGAGATCTGCGATGAAAGACTGACATAAAAGTGCGCAGAGTCATTACCGAATAGTCATTTGGGTGGCTCGCGACACGGCCAGCCTGGCAGCCTGAATCATGCGCATTCCTCCTCACCCAGCACCGGGATCCTGGACCAGAAACAAAAAGTGCCCTGTCCCTCCAGAGACCCGGGTCCGCAGACAGGCACTGCTCCACACAGCTCGCAGCCCCATCACTTCAGCCACCAACCTCCCTTCCAAATAAAGTTTGTGTGGAAAACACCCTCGCTCTTACTACCCGGCACCTCCAAACCCCAAAATCAGGGTCTTCTGCTTCCTTTCATGGAACTTGCAAGAATAACAATACCCCTCTCCTCATCTTTCCTTCCTGCCTCACCCTTCTATCCAGCCCCTTGGGGCTAGGCCTTGTGACAGAGCTGTGGGCAACCCAGGGATGAATCAGATGTTTCTTGCCCTAAAAAACTGACTCAGGGGGCAAGGGAAGCAGCATGGATGTTCATGAGGCAACTGTGTGAACCAGAGCCACAGGTATGACATCACATCTACACATTGTTTCACTGATACCAAGTTTCCCAACTTCATCTCTGCTGACATTTGGGGCCAGAGAATTCCTTGTGGTGGAGAGTTGTCCTGTGTATTGTAGGGTGTTTAGAGCACCCCTGGCATCTACTGGCTAGATATCAGTGGCAGCATCTCTTCCAAGGCCTGACCACCAAAAATACCTCTACACATTGGCAAGAGTGTCAAAACATGCACACGCACACTCACACAAATGAGAACCACAATCTACTAACTAATCCTGTGAGTGGGAGTTTTACTCCCATTTTACAGATAGGAAAGCTGAGGCCCAGGGCAGTTGACTAATTTGCCTGCGATCACACGCTAAGTGGCAGAAGCCTAGACTGTGAATTGTACGCTATTTCCACCCCCATTGGGTTGTGTGCTCAGATGCACATCTATTACAGATAGAAGAGTGACTGTGTCTAGACAGATGCAGAGTGAAGACTGAAGGAGGATCAGGGAAGTGAGGTCACTGACAGGACCTTCCTCTGGGTAAGGTTGATAAATGTGGGCACACTTGAAGGGATAGGACTTGAGTTTTATGTAGAAAGTAGCCATAAAGGATGAGATGGATCTGGAAATGTAGGAGAGAGAGGCAAGGAGAATCATCATCAGGAAGGAGGGAGCACTATGGACTGCACACTCAGAGCCTTGGAGCCCAGGGGGTATAACAGGCCTCACCAGAGAGGTTGGGCAGCCTCCCTGAGGAGTGTGAGGTTCCTCTGCAGGAACTACCACTGGTTTTGGAGGAAGGAGAGACAGAGTCTGAGCCACACAGCAGGTCATGGCATCTGGCAGGGGTTCAGGATTTCACGGACCACCCTTGGGTGCCCACAAGGCAAAGCACTCCTGTCATCCCCTTTGGGCCTCATGACAGGATGTGGGCTGAGTCATGCGGGAAGAACCAGCTCCCCAGATTGGGGGTCGTTCTAGGGGTCCAATCACAGCACCTCTGAGTTTCTGCATACTGACAAGCTCTCCTTCATTGGAACACACGCTCACTACCTCAGAAAAGCAAAATGGCCCATCAACCCCCAGAAATGAGATCTATTATGGTGAAAGTAAAAGCCTGAATCACCACCCACAGGCCCTGTAAACTTCAAGGCTCACTTTCCAGGCCCCCTGAAGAACCAGAAGTCCAGGGTTGCCTCAGGGCTTCAGAGAAGTCCCACTGCCCCCACCCACGTATGTTTCTGTGCTCTAGCTAATGAGCATAGAATCCTTGGAATTGGAGGTCATGTGACCTAGCATCCCTGAAGTTATGACGCTGCTCTGTCTACTTCAGGGGGGCAGGGTGTCAGTACCACACAACGAAGTCCCCTTGGTAGGTTGGCAGATAACAAAGATGGAGAGAACACAGGCTGGCCTGGGTGGGCATGGTCTCATGCACTGTTGATGGGAATAGAAACTGGTCGAACAGTGGCTATCAAAATTCAGAATGTGTAAACCAGTTACCAAGGCCCTTGCCACTTACACAGACCTGGCCATATGTGCACACAAAGCTCTATGTTCAGAAGTGCTCAACACACCGTGTGCAATGGCAGGTCATTATAAACACAGTTGTCCACAGGCAGACAGAGACTCCACCGTCATGCCCACCGTAGCAGGTAGCCAGTTCTAACACATGGGCTGCTCTTTATTTGTTGAGAAAGAAAAATATATCTAATGCATTTAGCAGATTATATAATATGATTGTCCTTACTGGTTTTGGGGGAAACTCATAAATGTGTAGCTCCTCAGTTCTAGTTCAGCATGTGAGGGAACCTAGTGAGGAAAGTATCCTCACAATGTGTCCACCATGCTAACACAAAATGCTAGGAAGTCGTGCAAAGTGTCCCTTTTCCCATCGAATGGCCCTTCTGTGTCCACAGCACTGGACTGGGATGGACACCAGGGCTCATGTCTCTGCCTGCATCCCCACGTCTTTTCCCTCTCAGTAACCTACTGGCTTTCACTGGCTGCTCCCCTCACTGGAGCCAGAGAATGTTGGATGGGCAGCCACAGCTCCCAGTTATTCCCACAGCCCTGACTCATCTGCAGGAGGAAGTTCAGCTTGCTCCTCAGAACAGTGACTCTCAAAGACAAGCAGGCTCCCCTTTTTTGCTCTCTTGTAAATCTCTCCTAACAGGACTGTGGGTTGAAGGAGCACACAGCCACCTAAGGCCATCAATCCAGGTTCCCAGCACAGATGGGGAGAAACGAGAGGGGGCAGTGCAGGTGAAAGGAAATCTCACCCAGTGAATACCAACATCACACATGCACAGACACGCATACATGTAGCTTTATCTATACCTACACACAACGCATAGAAGATCTGGAAGAACACACTCAAAACTGCTGTGGCTGTGGGAGAAGAGAGCAACGATGAATAGGATTTTTTTCTATCTGTGTTGTTTTATGTTTCATTTAAATGAACATACATTCCTGAATTGCCTCTAATTGATCATTAGAACAACTAATTAAAAGGCAAAGAACAAAGTTCTATTATATATTTGTTTACCCTTCTGCTTTTACTTTAATTTGCATTTATTTTATGCTGAATCCATTCCCAAGCCATCAATTTTCATTGTTTCAGTTTCTTCTGTGCAACCTCCTCTTCTTGTTTACAAAGAGGCCTGCTCTTTCCAGCAAGCATCCTCTCCCTGTGGCAGGGCTGATGTGGCCTTGAACTCTAAGTTCTGCAGCGCATCGTTGGAGCTTTGTTCACCAGGATGTGCTCGCTGACCAGAGACTCTACATCCAAACCCATATGTTCAGCTTTACACTCTGCATTTTTAAGCATGTGCAGTAGAAATTCAGCATTCTTTTGGGGTCACAACTCTACATCTAGCTTTTTTGGGGATCACAACTCTGCATCCAGCCCTACTGTTTGGCCAGGGCGCACCAAGAGCACTGCTGTAATGACGGAACAACAGGAAAGTGTAAAGCGATGTCCTTCAGACACTTGGTGGTTTTTCAAATATAAATACCCTTGATGTGCTGGGCAATTTGACGAGTGTTCTTAGACCAAGAACAAAGATTTGAACTCTTGTTTTCTATGATTTCATAGGGTTTTCTGGGTCCAGTGACTAGTGAACCACTTTCAGAGATCACCTAAGTCTGCTCTGGGGAAGAGGGAGAGGGGCAGCTACGGGAGAATTCAAGGGAATTCAAAGTTCTATTTTTTTTTAAATATTTATTTCATTTATTTATGCATACAAGAACTGTGGTACAGGCCAGAGGTGCAGGGGTGAGAGCATCCACCAGAGACAGAGTGGGGAGCAGAACAGGTGGATCCACTGAAGGGAATAGCAGGGGATACAGGAGAGGTCTGCTGCACCATGTGGGTAGCTCCCTAGCCAGGGATCAAACTCTTGTTGCAGAGGCTAGCAAAAGCTTGATAGTGCTGAGACTTCAACCCCTGCACCACCAGGAAAGCTCCTTTAATTTTTTATTGAAGTAACATTGGTTTACAACATTATTTAGGTTTCAAGTGTGCATCATTATAAATCAGCAATGGGACTGTTATGATACATTAGGACGCCATAACAAAATGTGCCCAAAGTAGCAAGAGTTTA